ACTGACTTATCCCTTAAAGCGAACTTGAATTTGAAATTAGACCTACATACAATACTATAGAGTGCTAATCCAGTAAGAGAAGCAATCAGTTAGCATGTACAACTAGGTATCAACAATTAACTGTGGCGACTTCAAGGGGTGGGGGGGGGGGGGGTAGCAGCGGCTTGTGTCCCCCCTCCTAACCTATAATTGTTAAAAAATACAAAAAAAACATGGAAAAATTATATACAAATTTAAGTCTTGCCATTTCCAGGTCTCGTACGTGTTGTCCCACAAACCGACAATTTTGCATACGTTTTAGCACTTATCGTTTTTTTTTTGTGGGACCTTAGCAACAACATTCAAGAGGGGTGAGTCTTAGCGAAAAGGTCAATTGTGGAGCCATGATTAAGACTCAATTTAAATATTTGAAATCAGGATGCTCGGCTCCTCAACTAAGTCCGTCTTCGGACGTAAACTCAAATATATGTGTAATCTAATAATAGCCTTGGGGCTAATTCTGACGTTCGGACGAGTAGAATAAGAACCGGTAAAACCAGTAACTTCTCGTATGTCTTTCGTTCAACCAAGGTCAAACACAAGTTTTTTAGCAATTTTTTAGTTGTTACTGTTTAAGACCATTCATAATCTAGCCTTTGTAACTTCATTTGGAGCTTCAAGTGATTTCTTCACTGTGATAACAAAACTTTATTACATTCTACACATGTCCGCCGCTAGACGACGCCATGTTGTTGTTGACTGTAAAACAACTCAGTAAAGTTGTTTTAACAAAACTAATTTAAAAGTAGGTATAAAATTATTTTTCTGTTATTGAAATACAAATTACATCTAATTATAATTTTTATGTTTGTTTTTAAAGCAGTAATACTCACTTAACAAATAATAAACTATGATTAGAAATACAACATTTGAACGAATACAGTGACATATGTAAAAATGTCGCTTGCTCGTTGGCCTACCGTAAAGAACTTTCTTTTGTTGTAAGTTTAAACGTCATTTTCTCGTGTTTTGCTAGAGTTCTTACTGTCAAACTTTTTTAATGCTTTTAAATATTAATATTTAAGTCATTTTCATAAGGAATTAAAGTATTATGAGAAAATGGGAACGGGATTGCACAATAGGAATTTTAGTCTGGCCCGGTCTTGTATACAAATCTAAAGGTCAACTTGTGACATGGGCCTTGTTACGTGTGATAAATTACGCCTGGAGGCAGCGTGTAATTGAAATATCCACTAAAAAAGATGAGGTTTTGGGACAGATGTTTTTTTTAAATTTTGTATGGCTAGAGGAAAAATTTAATTGCCACACATGGCCTCTCGGTTGGAAGTACCCGGTAAAGCTTTACTCGTCCGAACGGGCCCACCCTCACAGGAGAATTAAGCGGGTTATGGGCAATGTTTGTATCCGTATGTAATTTGTTACACTGGCTGAAGTCGGGTGGCAGCTGCACTCTGTCTGTAGCTGTCAGCAGGGCCGAGCCCAACAAACAAGAATCAGAATAAAAAATATAGTGAAAAGAGCACTAAAAACTTGAAAAGATTTCCCATTTAAACGTAAATATTAGTATAAATACCTTTAAAGCATCCAGCAGTTCCATTTTAACAAAGTTACATCATTTGTATTAATTATTAAATAACAGGTCTGTATTCAACCTAAGAAATTGTTATTCCATATGACTAATGAATCCATCAAAAGCAGTAACTGGCGACTATTATTGTTTTATTTTATCACGAACAAACTCTTACTGTAGACAATGGTGTTAATTTCCCAAGATGACTCAGCTACTTGCTACAGTAAGATATAAATTACAACAATTTGTGTTCCGCTAAGTAAACGCCAAACAAAGCCTAATAAAGACATGATGCATACTGAAGGGAGGGTCCCAAATGATTAACTTCACTTGATAATCACTCAGTTTAAAAATAAGATGTTAAAAAAAGATTATAGAATATTAATCAGCTTATTAAAATATTTGTTGTATAGTGCTTGTGTTCAAAATATGCTAATGAGAAAGTTCAGTTGAATTACAAAGAGATGATGAGAGCAGCATCAGAAGAATCAAATATTGTTCCGTAGTTGTCATTTTTCTTTTGTATCAATTAATGGAAAAAAAATAAGAATATTTTGAGACTTGATTTCACACAACAAAGTGAGTAAAGCAGGATGAAAAATTACTGTATTTTGACAACTTAGCAACTTTAAATCCACAATCCATACAGTGCGGATCCAGGAATTAAACAAATAAAGGGGACACAGAAAGTAAATTTTATAGATGGATGTTCCATCCAGACCACCTCAGCCCCACCATGAGGACTGAGGTCGATCTCAAAAAATTAACATGGTCACTCTATGCAATGACACATTGGATATCCAGGTACTGCGAAAAATGTACTGTCCAGTACCTAGAGTACCGTATATCCCTGCGTATAAAGCAATCTGTGTAAAAGACAACCCCTAAGTTTTAGGGAGATATCTGGACGATTTTTGTATGTCGGGCGTACAGTATAAAATGACACCCCCCTCCCCGTTTCATTGTTGGAATTCTTAATTTTATGGTCTTGATACTGCACCTAGCTGGCAAACAATGAAGTCAAATACTAATCTTCCAAATAGTACCATTTTCATATGGCTATCAAAATCGTATTGCCCGCATTTAAAAGGGTGTTCATTCATACTAACCATTAGTAGCTTCATCTCATTAGTAAATTTGCATGCTATGGACAATCCGCACATAAGATGACACATAATTTAGAGATAAAAAATGTAATGTATTGCACGTATAAGACAACCCACCCCCCCCTTTTTCGATCGTAATTTGCTATTTTAAGCCTCTTCTTATATACAAGAGGTAATAACTCTATGCTTAGTAACATCAGCACTATCAACACCATATGTTTATACCATTATTACTATCCCTATTGTTAATTACTCTGTTCACAGATCATGTTTAAAAGACAAAAAGACCTCAGCAGGGGTCACTGTGTGATACAGTACCTTACCATAATTTGTTCATCAACTTCCTACATCATGGAACAGGTGTGATGTAATTGTTTTGTGGTGATATACTGTACAATGTTATAATACCCAGTGCCTGAGCCAAGAATATTTATTATAATATGGCACAACTTGGGCCATCATAATACAAATTCATGTAAATTCTACAAAAAAATAGCCTTACAGCACATTGATTCATGATAGTAATCAACAGGTTACATAATTCTGTACGTTAATTAAATTTCACAAGGTTTCGTAACGATATGGTATATTCAACCAAATAATATTCTATAGAAGCCAGTAAAAGATCAATAAAGTTCAAAAGTTCAATATGTAGTAATTTGCATAAGAAGGTCAACTGTGAATAATATTCTCAAAAATATATTTTGAGCTTAAAGTTGAATGAGAATATATATCTACTTATGCATTATTAAGAATTACTAAAATCCTGTAGAGAGATTGTGTTGGACAAGACATTTGATATGCCTAAATATGGTCATGATTACATCACACCATGACCATATATAGGCACATCAACTCGTTAGCAGCTGAAAAGAAGGCATTCCCTACCCGCACCCACACCATCATCAGAACAACCTATTTCCCATAGTCTATTAAGTCCCCCTAATTATAGCAGCTAAGTAGCCTCTCTTTCCAGGCCACAGAAAGTGGATTGGACCTACTATACCATACCTACACTGTACTAGTATGTTACAGTCCTACTAAACACCACATGAAACCACACAGGGCCAAACGTATCCAAACCAGACCACGCGAATGAAAAAATGATTGAAATATAACCACACAAGAGTAGAAAACGACTTACAGTAATAATCAATAAAAACAAACTTTTTTATTGATAGTTGTCCAAAATGTGGTTCAAATCGATGAATTTTGTTACAGGTTTCGCCACCATGATTCCAAATTTAATGGGTTGACATTGAGTATCTCTGTAACGAATTGACGTCGACAGAAACGCATTTAACCATGACCACACTACGTTATATTTCTTTACTCCATTGCTGTAGCCTACACTGAAATAATTTTTAAAAACCAACAAATGTGCAAGCAATAAATGAACTCTGAATTTTCTTAACATAACTTAATCATAATAAATCTGTCTAACATTAATCCATAATTATGCCTACTACAATTTAAATTTTTAAAAAAAGAAAATTTTTTTATATAAAAATATTTAGTTTCATAAGCTTTCATGTGGCAATAGTGTCTTTATTATTTAGAATAGTTTCTTGATATGAAACGCAGACCATGAAGGTCATGGGTAAATGTGTTTCTGATGTCACGTTAATACGTTAGAGATACGTAATGTCAAAACATTATTTTCTGAAACACGGCGGGTGAAATCATAACAACACTGTAGGCCTACATCAATTTTTAACAGAATTTAGACAATTATTGTTGTAAAATTTTAGTTTTATCGATTATTAAGTAGTTTTTCTACTCTTATGTGGTAATATTTCAATCACTTTTGCATCCACGTGGTCCCATGTGGTTCAATGTGGTGTTTATTACAGTAGCCTGTTGGTTACTTAATTTAGAGGGAAGTCTAACTAGCCTACTGGTCCGTAGAGCTAACAGTAGCTAGGCCCTGACCTGAAGTACTTATAAGCAAAAACGGAGGAGACATCATCATCATACTTGTCTAGCGAATCCGATCTGGCTGTTCAATATACCAGGACATAATAATAATAATAATAATAATAATAATAATAATAATAATAATAATAATAATAATAATAACAACAATAATAATATTAATAATAATATATGCAGATTGCATTAAAAAAAAAACACGAGTCGTGAATCTCGGACTTCATTCAGACCAGACGTGATATATGACTGCTGGTGGACAGCGGTGGGAAGCCCAGCCCGTGAGTGAGACACCACACTGATTCGATACCACAAATAAACAAATAAAATAATGGGAGAAATTGATCTTTAAAGTGTCTGGTATCATACAAGTTATAAATAAGACTACAGCTTACTGTTTTCTTCTGTGAGGAGCAGCATCTAATGACTGTGGTGCTTGCATCCTATGGCATGTATCCTTGCCAGTTTTACCTAATATCAGATGGTATAAATATAGGGCAAAAAAATCACCACAGACCTCTCCTACCTAGCCCCGAAAAACCACCTTCTTTCTCACGCTTCAAGCATCTAATAGTGGTGGTGATCCTGCTGGTATTATTGGTAGAGCGCCACCATGAGATTACATGCATCGGCCATTTGTTATCTACCAGCGTTTTACAAAAGAAAGATAGGGGCGTGTCCATGACTCATCATACGATTTGATTTGTTACTATATTTATGACTAAGCCCTTATGCATATCGCTCACCAGAGGTTAATAAAACTTCACATTTAACATAATAAATATGATTTATATTTGAATTGTTAATTTTTTTTTCTGAATGCGAACTCGACGCTGGTTTATAGAATACATTTTGATCGACATACAGTAGTTTAAGATCCTTGGTATAAGTCCATCGGGGCTCTCATGTGTTTCAATTGTTATGGAGAAATGCAAGAACATCACGTACTTTAAATCATAAACTTACAATTGTGCATTGAAATCCCGAGCTCCTACGTACTCATTAGTACTCATACGCCTCCCGTGTTTTATCCGACCCTGTGAATTTACGTTGAGGCGAGTGGGTACCTAAATCATACCATATGAGTATGCCTATATCGGAAGCACTTAAAAACATACACACTACTGTTTAAGCAAACAACTTGGATAGGCATGTCGTTACGGAACCCAAGTCAACTCTAAATGTGTTGACAACAAAAAAGTGAAAGAGATCATATGGTTGAGTTGTATGATGCCTCGGGATGTGTTTAAAGACTGTTTATGTTATGTCAGGGGACATCGGTATGGTCTCCCGCACAAACAGCAAAAATATTCCGGAAATTCACTTATCTCCCGCAAATTCAGTAAAAAACAAATCTTGTTTTATTTTAGGCCTGAACTTTGGCGTGGCCCCTCGTTTGGTACCTACACTTTTTCCTCATAGAATATATATATATATATATATAGCGCCCCTAATGTCATTAAACGAATCTCCCGGAAATGGGTTCTTCCAACTTGGGACCCCTGTTATGTAATTCCTGGGTTGAGTTAAGTCTAAGGACCATGGACCTGATGTCAAACATGTGCTTTGTACAGTATATGATTATTCACTGGAGAACTGTAGTAGATGCCACAAAGTGGTCCAGGGGGAAATTTGAGATTTCGAAGGTTTATTTTATCGATTTTATAGAGAGAGAGAGTCTTAATAAACATATAGAAAATACATTCAGTTTATACATTTTTTTCTCCCTGAAGAATTGTGGCTTTTATCCACTACGTGGGGGGAGGGGAGGGGACGATGGCCCAGCCAGGCCCCCACTGTCACTACTCCTGCCAACTACAATGTAGCACACATTTTCTTATCTCTGAATTATAGGCCCTTACTTATGTGAGCATTCAAATCAATTATTTAATCACAATTGAGCATTTATTTTAATGTTCTTAAAATAACTCATCAATTAGTCATTACTTGATCATTGGAAAGTCTAAACTTATTCCACCGTGATCTGATCAATATGTTCGACGTCTTATAAGGGATATAACTATAAAATAGTTTTGGGTTAATGTACTTACATTGTTAAAGCGATCGGTTATAAAATTGGTGTTAGAAATGCACTGATGTCCTGTTTCAACTGAGTTCCCTATCAATGCTCTAGACCACTGAATGCCAACATTTACTTGCGGGGGTTTAAAAGACTATCAACTCAATCCGCAAAATGCAGGACTAAAGAAGAGCACTTCTGTCGTAAGTTTTAAAGGGTTTTAAATAGATGAGCCGTAGTTTAATATACCAAGGAGTTTTTGAGGGTGCGTTTATTCGAGGGAGGCGTTTATTTTTTCGGGTGTAAAATGGATGCAGGTATACACTCCGATAAACGTCCCTTAATTTCACTGTACATGTGGAATGACAACGTTAAAATGCGTTATTGCGTTTATTTGAGGAAAAAATAAACGAAGGAGACGTTTATTCAAATGGGGCTCTTGAGGGGGCGTTTATTCGAGTAACGGTAAAATATATGTAGCCTAGTAACATAAACAAATGTAAATACTAGTACTGTATTAACTAGCTCTATTTGATATATCAGCATTCAAGCACATTGTGGACATGGTGTCAAAGATGCAATAACGGTCTTGCACAGAATAAAAATTAAATCGAGAAGTTCGACTCCTCCGTTAGAAAATTAGGAGCCGTTAATTATTCCCGATACAATCATCCTCGACTAAGTCCTTATAGCATCAGTTATCGGTCTGATCTAACGAAATTATACTCGAATCAACGCACAATATTGAAAAAACATTTGTCACGACTAAAATGGCGAGGCACTTGCCCTAAATAGTGGCTCGACAAGTTCTCAATTAAAGGGTTGGTAGATCCAGACAGGTAGTATCAAAGACGAGGGTGCAACGATTCGCCCTCCGCCATTATAAAGGGGTTAATTGATATGAATGGTTTAAGACTGACTGACTGATTGATTTTATCGACCGACCGATCAATTGATATTATCAATTGATATATTGGTTTCTTGCATCGCATGGAAGAGGTTTTCAACTAACTTGCGGAGGGAAAAACCCCCAACAGGATTGCGCAAGAATGTGTTCAGAAATCAAATGTAATTACAGACTATAACATATTACCCAAAGGCCTACAGCTCATCCATAATAGCGATAGTTGGCCTAGAAATACAAATCAAGTTGAATTTACAAAGCGCTTTTTACGTAGGAATTGAAGGTACGGTTAATATATTGAAATTAATATTAACAGAAAATTTTGTTTAGCAAAATCAAATTGTGAGGTAACTCTCTCACACTGTCCTTTAAAACATAGGCATATAGACCTATGTCGCCCTCATTACTTGGTAATGCAAACGCAAACATGAATACAATAGTAATGGTTGCAGACTTTATTGCGTGTATATAATTAAATATACAATTTATAGGTACAATTTAATTTTTGTTTAAAAGGTGTGTAAACTAAGAACAAAATAAGAACATTTTGAACCTGAAATCGGCCAAAAAATAAGAACACTGAGCCTGGGCAAAATTTTACTGGTTCTTATAAAAAAAAAAAGTGTAACTGGTTAACAGCATATATTAATTACCAAAGGCATATTGAAGTAATAGCATATTAATTTATGTTAATATACATACATGTGTAATGGAGAGTATCTGGTGGTATTTGAATCTGTTCAACCATGAAGCCTCCGTGGTCTAGTGGTTATGACACTCGCCTTCACAGCGAGAGGTCGCAGGTTCGAGTCCCGCCAGAGGCATTTTATTACACAATTTCTTTATTCATTTATTTACAGGACTACATTCGTTGAGAGCTGTGCTACACGATGTATTTATTCAGTCCTTTATTCGAACACTGTATTTACCTTTCTTTGATGATTTATATATATAGCATATATATATATATATATATATATAATTCAATGTTGATGACACATAAAAAATGATGTTTTAAAATTGTGAAAAAAAAGCTAGAATTAGTATTTTGGAACATGTATAATCATATCATATACTTCTTACAATACATGGATCTGCCAGTACATGGCAAGTTAACATATTCTATCTCCCTGACACTCCTAAGTACATCCTTGCCATTTGACAGGTGGATTTAACATCATGTGACACTGGGAATTTACACAAATGGACTTTCCGAAGTGTCAATCAAACTTAACAACTGACCAATCAAAACAGCACCAGGAATACGTGCGCATCTCACAAACACACATGTTGCCCCACAGACGTGTGTTTGCGTAGTTTTAATGCCGTCATTATGGATGTGGGACCCTAGCAACAACATCCTAGGGGCAGGCTTAGTGGAAAGGTCCATTAATAGCAAAATATTCTATTTATTGATCTGCATCATTTTTTATTCATTATTTTCCAATATTTCATTCATTATTTTTCAATTCATTTTGCTTCATTTTGTTGAAAGAAGTTGGACTGTTCCATGTGAAAGGAAGGTAGATCTAGCTTTATTATTTTCATGAAATAACAAATGACAATATCTTTTGGTGTACTTATGAAACAATGAATATTTTCATTCATGACAGAGTAACATAACAAGTTATAATTTGGAATGTTGAATTGAATGGAACAGCCCATCTTCCCACTGCATAAATATTCATTATTTGTTCAATACTGAGCATCTTTTTGATAATTCTAAAAAAAATATATACATATATTTATGATATGACAATATAGTATAAGATACAAGTTTTAAAAGACAAGTTTAACGTATTCTATGGTATTTTTATAAATGGTTCCTACTAATGCCAAATAACCGGTTACTTTTTAAAATGTCAAAATTCATGAGTAAAAGGTCATTTCACTGTTGCCAAACATGCGCCCGAAGCCCACCAGCGAGGAGGAGCAATAAGAAACTTTGAGTTACTTGGTCATTTTTTTAAACTGGGTCAACAAGGTCATGGCTAACACAGTGTTGAAGGAAATTGTGCCTAAATACACTTTTTTTTTATAAGAACACATTTTATAAGAACACTGAGGCTGAAATTGCTTAAAAATTAAAAACAAAATAAGAACAGAGGATGAGGTAAAATTTCAAATGAGGTTTATATTTTTAAAAACCAAAATATTATATCTGTACATTATGTGTAATAGCTGTGACTGTAATACCCTCTATAATACAGTACACTAGGTGTACCTATCTGACATTTAGGGGCCATTTTTTGTGGGGTCACTTTCACCTACATTCCAGTACAGTGCATACTGCCGTACAATTTAATTTTTGTTTAAAAGGTGTGTAAACTAAGAACAAAATAAGAACATTTTGAACATGAAATCGGCCAAAAAATAAGAACACTGAGCCTGGGCAAAATTTTACTGGTTCTTTTATAAAAAATAAAAAAGTGTAACTGGTTAACAGCATATATTAATTACCAAAGGCATATTAAAGTAATAACATATTAATTTATGTTAATGCATACTATTATAACCAGTTAAAAGATTGCAGTAGAAACTCATTAATCCTGCCATATACCTAAAAAAAGAAAACATTTGGAGCTTTTGAGCCAATCAGACAGGCTGTAATGCAGTTGCATACATAATACATGTCTCCTAACACTTTTTTTTTCTGA